AATTCATAGTCCTTGACATGTGGTCCATGGACCTGCAGCAGCCTAAGTGTCATTTTGGAATTTGTTAGAAATGCAAAGATCCTGTTCCAGATCTCCTAATGAGAAACTGTAGGATTCAGCCCAGAAATCTGTGTTTTAAGAAGCCCTCCAGGTCACTCTGATACTTGACAAAGTTTAAAACTACTGAGCTAATTCAAATCAGAGGACAAGTAGCTAATTTTAATAGAGTAGTTATCTTAAGTGGTTCTCTTAGGTTTTTGTCTGGATAACAGAATTGGCTGCATGCCAAGGAAGAGTGTCCTTTGCACCTTTGGTGCAGAGGGAGTTGCAGGAGGTACTTCTCATCCAGCTCATGAAAAAAGGATACTGAGTCACTAGATACAATTTAAGAAGGGGGCCCAAAAAGAAGTCCCCTGTTTTGTTCCACTTTTCATGCTGTAAGATAAGCATCTGTCTAAAATGAGCTCACACTGCTTAGCCCCAGCGTGATGTGACAGGAAAGATAAGGTGGAGAAAGTGGGGAAATGGAGGTGTGGTGATGGAGACACAGCAGGGGGCTATGGGGGAAGAGTCAGGCCTAGCAAACTGCTGCTCTGCATGCAGCATGTTGACCTGACTTACGGCTTTAAGGAATGTCTGGAGAAGAAGAAGAGGTGCCCATATTAAAAACCAGACAGACTGTATTCTGCATGCTATTGCACAGGACTATAGTAGTAACATTAGTGAGGGCAAACAAAGGGAAAAGGTCAAAACAGACAAAGCAGGAGCAAAACTTGAATACCTCTAGAGGAAAAACGAGCAAAATAAACCCACCAGTTCCTTTATTTCACCTTAATACTTTATAACATAAGCTTTAAGAGTTTTACAGAGACCTAAATGATTGAACTTGACTTATAAAACCAGAATAAAGTTCCCAGGTTTCAAAAGGGACCTGGGGGCATGGGTTATCTCTTCTGTATTCATACCATGCTAACTTTATTTTTGCATCTTCCATCATTACCATTTCTAGTAGCCAAACTAAGGGATATACAAGAAAACTTGAATTTGTTTTGATTCAATGAGAAGTTGCCAGTAAGATTTCAATTTAATAAGATTCTGCCCGGTCTTTTCTGGCTTTCTTTCCTTTATCCACATGACAGACTTTGTCAGGTCTGGCCCTATGTCATGTCTACCTAAATGAACATGGATAAAATCAGAATTAAAGTCACTGATAAGAGGAGAGAGGAGGCCGGTCTCCCAATTCACAGCAGAAACAATTTCAAGAAATTATCAGCAAAGAAACGCTAGGAGAATTCAGAAGTTCCCTATTCCATCTCACTTTCCTTATCCCCTTTACCTCTCCAGTCCAGCCAGAATGTGAAACGGGCTCTAGGGCAGCATCCCAAGGAGGCCAGTGGTCACTTCCTGCCCTTTCAAAATAGCCCAACTAAAGATGGTGCTAAGAGCAGAAGGGGTACTGGTCTCTGGAGAACTATGAAAAATGTCCCAGTTTAACCCCCAGTACTGCCATTCAGTTCTACCACATTATGCTTATCATTATGTTTATTGGGCTGTTTTCCTCCTAAGCATGTTATTAAGGGACTCTTCAACCTTATCCTTCTTCGATGAGCCCACTCACAACCAAGGGGAAGTTCCCAGAACCTTCTAAGAAGGGAAGTCAGTGAAATCAAGCCTAAGCTTGACAATCCTGAGCTTGATTCTAGCTTGCATTCTAATTGGAAATAATTTTCAGCCATACTAGTTGGAGGCAAAGAATTATGCAATTAACCTTTTAATTACAATTCAAAGTGCTACAAAAGACACTGCGTATGTGAGGTCCTGTAAAGGTGGCCTTGGCTGTTCTATGAGTTCAGGGGTGAAGTGTATACACACCCAGGGGAGATGCATCTGCAGGTAAGCTATCCACTGAGGAGGTGTTAGCTGGGTGTGTTAACAGGTGTCCACAGGCATGAGGACAAAGCAGGGAGGGATGGTAACCATCTAGGTGGAAGATGCTACAAGTGAGAAGCGGTCAACCTGGTGCGCGGACTGAACAGGAAGGTGACCGAGAGGCAGGAGCACAGAAAGTGAGGGGGAGAGTGAAGAGCAGCTGGGGGCAGTCTGCCTTTTACCCTGTAAGCCATGGGCCACTCTGCAGCAGGGCCGCAGGGGCACTGCAGGCTCAAGAGCCATGCAGCCTGCTGTCCAGCCACTCTTCCAGGCAACAGGGCCGCTGGCCCTCCAGAGGGGTGAGGTGGAGAGGCCTGGCATGTCCCTGGGCTCAGAGCCCTCTGGGTGGCCTGTGTGCTGGTCTTGGCACAAGGATTTGGCTCTCTCCCCGACAGCCCATCCAGCTCTGGGGCTGGGGTGACTCATGACCCCAGCTGAGCCTGCTGGATGTACCTGGAAATGCTCTCCTGCCATCCTCTGGGCCAGCTGCTCCCTACCCCCAGGTGGGGGTGGAGTTTCTTCCAAAGGAAGACTTCCTCATTCCTGCTGAATAGTGCCAGACACCCAACCAATGAGGCTGGAGTGTAGAGGGGCCTAAATCTTGTTTACCTGAGCATGGTGGCATTCTTCCAGAAGCTCATGTGCCCAGTTTACAGTGTGTCAGTGTGAAATTGGGATTACAGTCAGTCTGCCTTGGATTAAATACTTAATAAATCATGATTTTGTCTTTGTCTTTTGGGCTCCCCTTGGTTCATTGCTGGATTCAGAGATCAACAGATACTCACTAAGGTCCATTGAACATAAGCCCTCCAGTGGGTTAGTCTGTGTGGTGGGTGGGCCGCTTGGTGCTGCACTTCCTGGCTGAAGTCTGTGGGGAAATACGCTGCTACTTACCCCCTGAAGCCCCTCCCTGACCATTCTGATTACCAGCCTCCTGTCTCACTCATTTTATGAAGCTCCGGCCTAGAGCCTGTTCCATCTGGAAACCATACAAAGTTATTTCGTATACACAGAGGCTTGAGTGAGACCTTCGTTAAAGGTATAATAAAGGCAAGAGACAGAGAAAGGAGAAGAGAGAAGAAAGGGAAAAGAGAATAATAATAGTACACACCTTCTACTGAACACCCATTCTCTACCAGATGGTTTACAAGCATTATTGCTCACCGTGACTCAATTCCTACAAAGTTGCATTGTTCCCATTTAACAGATGAGGACAGTGGAGCTCAGGGAAGGTCAGGGACTTGTCAAATCCTCACAGTCAGGAAAAGGTTGACCGGGATTCACATTTAACAAGCATGCTGTGCCATGTAGAGAGGGAGGAAGCTGGTAGCCCTGTGCGGACAGAAGCCCAGCTGCCCTTCACTGACCTCTGTAACCTAGAGGACTTCTCATGCGTCCTGCCCCCAGCTGGCTTGTCAACAGCTGCCTGTGTTCCCAAACATCCTGCTCTCCCTCTCACTCCCCTCCCTAACCTTGCCCTAAGAGAAGAGATGCATTCCAGATCGTAGTCGCCAGCTCCTTGCCCCTGCCTCCAGTTTGCAGGAATTTCCTGTTTTAAAAGCATCCCTGCCTCTAGGATGATGGGAAGTCAGCATTGGGCAGTAATGGCCAATTACTTAGAGATTTCCTTAACAAAATCAGAGCCAGTGTTGAGTGGGTGAGCAAAGCATGGCTTTAGCAGGCCTCCCACAGTGGCCAGGAAGTGGAGGCAGATGAAATGATGGTTTGAAACCCCTGGAGTCCTTCGCTTCTGCCTCTTAATTAATTGAATACAGTCCTTTCACATGACTGGAGTCTGTCCCTTCGCTGGTGTTAGTAAGCCTCGAGTCAGTAGCCTGTCTCAATACACAGAGAAGACAGTACAGACAATGGTAGCATGGATGACAGCAGTGGGGATCAGAGCCCAGATGAGGTCCCAGAATAGTCATCAAATCGAAGGACGCGTGTGCCTAGTCGGGAGCGGTAGGGAAGAGCCTGACGCCTAGCGGGTAGCCTGGCCTGCCACTGGGAGAGCTCTCCAGCTAGAAGACTGAGGAGCTTGACCTGTGGGCAGTGCCTGGACATCTATCCACAAAGCGGTCCAGGCCGGCCCTGACGTGAAGACATCAAGAGATATGTAATGAGCTTTGTATTTACCAGAATCCTCCGACAAAAAGGATATAGGGCATCCAAAATTTCAATAAGATTTGAATGATGGGAAGGAGTCCCCAAGGGACATGGAGGAATCACAGTAGATAATGGCCAAACTGCCTTGTAAAAGACTCTAAATCCAGTTAACTACAAGGCCTTTGCTTTAATGAATGGGGTGTGCACACTGGGGACAAGAATGAAGAGAGGTTGCTGTGCCCAGCAGCCCCCTTCCCTGCCCTTCTCCCATGTGTCACTCATCTTCTCATTGTCAGAAGGGCTCCAAATCACTTTGCCCGCCCAGAGTGTCCACACAACTGTCTTCAGCTCTGATGATAAGGCAGCTGTGGGGTGTAGTCTTAACAGTTTTGTTGTGTAAATCTTTGTACCCCTTAAAACATCAGGGCCTCAGAGAACCCTGGTTTCCCTTCCTTTGCTACTCTGTCAGGAATTGGTCCATCTGACAATCACACTCTTCCCCTCTGGGGGCCATGTGAGGCCAGTGCCTCGTGACAGGACTGCCCACAGCCGGGGTGTGGCCCATGCCTGCCTCATCTCTGCAGCACCATCTTAACCTCTGTCGCATACAGTTCTTTGTTAAATCTGTAGACTCTTGGGGGAGTGGATGATTTGATGTATGAATGAGTGAACAGATTTACAAGGTAGCTACCTGGGATAAGAGATGAACTGTCAACAGTGGAACGCTTTTTTCTCCATATAAAACACATAATGGAGAAAGGAACCCTCAGCCTGGATCATGCTCTAACTAATGAGCTGTTGTGCCCAAAAAGACGCATCCTGGCATTGATTGAGCCTGCCTTGCATGGGCCCACTGCCGTGGTAATCAGGGCCATGCTACCAAGGTACCTCTCGAGAGCAGGCCTCTTAGAAAGCAGGGAGCTGGAGATTCCCACTGACTTGGTCTCTTTTTTTTTTCTTCTCAGATTATCAAGGAGGTCCCTCCACCCCCTGCTGAGGAGAGTGAGGTAAGTGACCACAGCAGGTTGCAGCAGGTGGACAGGGTGGCACAGTGGAGCAAGTGGCTGGTTGGGCTGACCCGAGACTCAGGACCCTGCAAAGCAGAGCTAAGTCAGGCCCAGGCTCCCACTGCATACAACTTAGCAAGGAGAGAGTTTGAGCGCTTTCTGAACCAAAGATGAAGAGGAACTGAACTAACTTAGCAGCCAATGGCAGAATAGTTTGGAAGGTTTTCTCCCTGCAAAGATAAAATTTGAGCTGTAAAACTAAATATTCTGATCCATACAATCTTTTCCTGTAAAACAGACACTTCAGGTTTCTCTTTCCTCTGCAGACTTATGTTTTCTTTATATATGTAGATCAGGGCAAATTTTCCATATCCTCCAACAAACAGTGGTTTGGGGAGCAGCTGGATGCTTAGAGTGTTCCATTTTTCTTTAACTTAAAACAATGTTACCTAAAGATTTGCCAGGCAGTAAAGAAAATAGACTGGAGGGAAATATGCTAATACCCTGGCCTTGCTCTCAGATCCCCATCATTTGAAAGAAACAATAAACACCTTAGACTCCACCATAAATTGGCCAGTAAGCAGTTTTGGTGCAAGGGTGGCCTGGGGTGCAATATTGTGGAGGCATTAAAGGCTAATGGCAAGAGGGAACATCCCTGGGCAGAAAACTCGGCCAGTGGCTTTCCTGATCCTCTGATCACTCCTGAGATAACCAGCCTCCCTGGATGCCACGCTCACCAGTTTAGAAGCCACGGTACGGGTCTGAAATTTGAGTGGGGCCAAAAGATTATTGATGAGGTTTCAAATTCACTGTCCTCATCCCTAAGGTCTCTTGTGTGCAAGCTGTGTGCCACCCCTTCACCATTCCTCTTCCCAATGCCTTTGTCAAGTCTCCTAATACAGAAAGAATAATGATTAAATTTAAAGTTCCAGGTGGCTTTTATATCCTGAACCATATGCATGTAAGCCAAGGGATTTAATGGCTGCAATCAATTAAAGCACATACTGTTGGAATGCTAACTTTCTGCCCAGAAATCAAGGGAGGAAATTACATTGCTGTGCAAAGAGGTTGGAGAAAAGAAATCCTCTTTACATCCACAAAAGCCCTTTCTTTATCCTTCAGAAGAAAGCACCGTGCCTAGTTCAGGATTCCAGTTTGGCTGTGTGGCTGTTGTGTGCAGCTGTCTCTATACTCCCAAAGGAAAATAGGGTGAGAAGCTCTGCCCTGATGAGGGTGCCCTCTGCCCTGAGATGAAGAGTGTTCCCTTCTCTCCTTATGCTCAGTTAGAGGAGTTGCTGCCCTTTATTCTGGTGCTGCCTCTGCATTTGCCTTTGGAAAGTGATGTGGCAGCCACCATGGCCAGAATACACCAGGAGACTAGCATAGGGCTCCACAGAGAGAACAAGCTCAATAAGTTATTTGCAGAATGAAGTACGATACCCAACAATACAATTTTGGAGGACAAATACAAGAGCCCAGACCAGAAAAACACCTAGTTGAGTTTTTCCAGTTTGATCTCATATTTTTGTAGAAAGAGTTCTTCTGCCTGAAGAAGGCAGCCCTGGTTTCTGAAAAGGAATGACACCCTTGGGATACTTGAGATCTAAAGGGTGTGTTAGACCTGCACTTGTTTCTGGGCTGGCCTTAGCATGGGTGCTGGCCCTGGGAGTTCCTTGTTACCAAGAGTTAAGTAGCCCTACCTCCTTCTCAATGCATTTGGCAGAAAGAAAGAAATCCCACAGAAACAGGTAACATAACTTAGTCCATATAAAGTATTTTACACAATGCCCTGATAATCATAGTCTGAATCTAGAGTTCTAGAACCTTCTTCACTCTAGCTCCTTGTATTCTAATCCCACCAGTGCTCCAGGTACAGCTCACACAAAACACAATGTAATTCCTTCCATCATGACTAATTTCTCATTTCTCCCTTCTTTGCATTCCAGGGGTATCTTATTGACTCTTTCTTCTGCATCAAAGTTTAAGGCCATTAGCTACTTGAAGGGCAGGATCTATATCCAGTTAATCTTTGACTTGATACAGTCAAGGAGCTTAATACAGTGTCTAACACTCAACTAATAGCTATATAAAGTCAAACACCCTCTGACATATGTATGAACAAGTTAAATATTAATTATCCAAATTTTTATCAGTCCTATAAGCATCACATCCTGTTAGGTTTCTCTATTATTTAAGTAACTAAACTTAGAGAATGAATACAACTTCATAATGAGCTCTCAGTGATCCTCTTTAATATGGAATATCAAATATACAATTTGAAAAGCCATGACTCTGATATTCCATGCAACCAACAGTGATACTTCTGTATAAAGAAAAGACAAAGAAAAATTGCTTGAAAATTTGAGACCTCAACAAAAGCAAGGAAGCTCAGTTTTAACAGCTAAGCAAGGTATTTCTTGGGTTGAGTCTTCTATAACTGACAGCTGAGTGAGTATTCCTCACTAAGTCTCTAGTATTCCAAACAATGGGCAGTTTGTGGGAGGGTCCAATTATGAAATACTTCATCTGACTCTGTAGTTCTGTGGATTCCCTCTGTTTGAGAGGGAGAAGGATGCTTACTGAAGGCATTGACACCCAGGGGGCATACAATTCATAATAAGCACCTGGCTTGGAATGATGAACTTATTTCCAGGTTTGTTACACTCACTGATCCTAACAATTTCTCTGTGGCAAGCATTTCCAGATTGGAAACTGAGCTATGGAAAAATTATACAACTTGTTTAGGACCAAACAAGTCAAACTTCCTAATAGCAGCAGGCCTGGTACCCCTCAGAGCTATATCTACACAGGCAGCCAGACCAGCCTCCCACTCTGGACGGGTGAGGGGCCAAGCTGCTTCCAGGCACCTTCTTCCAGTGGACATTCTCATACATACTCACACATGGGCCCTCACACACACACACATCTGCTGCAAACAGAAGTCCTAGAACAGGCCTAGAATTCTGTATCCTGTATTTCAGAAGTTAAAAAAAAGAACATTGCTTCTAAAAAAGCAAACACCCCATTCTTTAGTGTTAAATACAGGACAATCATTGTGCTGTCCTTACTCACTGTGTGGATGCAAACAGATTTGATGGCATCATGACATGTTAAATGTAACTCAGAACAGGACAATCTTAAGTCAGCTGGACTTTTTTGTATTTATAAGGGAAAGTATTGCTGAATTTTTCTCACTTGCCAGTTCATTCCTAGGAATTGATCTCCAAGGCTGACATTGAGCATGACCTCTCTGGCTCATCCCCAAAGAGTTCAGATGAGACAGAACAGCCAGTCTCCTTTAGGCGATGCCCTCCAGAGCCTTCCGAGCCTGGCCGTTTCTGTGGCCTTGGACCTTTCCTTCATGTCACACACTCACAAAGCTTTATGCCTCTATAAATACTAATGATCTTGTTGACAGCTGCATTCTCTTTATTTTTCTCAAAATATAACACTGACAAACAGTGGGGCTGAACTACAGATGCTTGAGTGAGTGAATGAAGGAATAGACAAATAGAAGGCCCTTTTAGGGGCTGTTCAGGGCTGACCATAATGAGTTGAGATGTTTACAGTTCAGTGAAATTTTAAGTGAATTAAAGACTGGCTTAAAACTATTTCCTTGGGCTCGATTCTGTTTCAGTTATGTTCTCCTTTCCATAGATAGTTACCACTGGTGCCCACAGTGAGGTGGGGGTTGAGAGCTTGTTGGGCCAAACTGGCCATGTGGCTCCTCCAGCAAATGGACATCAGAGAAGCAGGCATGGTAAAGGACCTATAGGTTGAGTCTGAGGGCTGTTCACTCTAAATCCACAGACTTGTCCAATGCACGGTCAGTGTGTGGATAGAGGGGGGAGGCAATCCTACCTAGGGAGATCTCACCTCTTCTTCTCGCTGGTGTGCTTAGTAACTATCTAATAGTTAAATTCTGTTGAGTGAGTGAAGGTCAGTATAGGAGATGTGGGGAAGGTAAGAAAGGAGCATTGAATTCTATGGGGAATCAGGGAGCTCTTCACAGAAGAGGTTACCCGCCAGTGATATCTTTAAAAATGAGTGGAAGAAGAGGGGGGAAGGCGTTCTAAGCACAGGAAGCGATGAATGTCGAAGCATGGAGTCATACAAAAGCGCAGCATGATTGGAAAGGAGGAGAAGTTCAGTGTCTGAGGCAGCAGTCCAGGTACAGACCAAGTGAACGTGTGCACCAGGCTTCCCATCTACCGTGGTTTCTCCCTGGAGCGGGTCTGTGAGGACAAGCAGGTCAAAACGGGCCATTATGCTGCCACATGTTACCCAAACGTCAGCCCACTGGACGGGGTGGGGGCACCACATCCTTTAAGATTTAAATACAGCTTCTCTCCATCATCTCTGTGGTTTCTCCAGCCACCACTGACTCCTACCTCTTGCTTTTTCTGCAATATCTCATCTTCACTTGCTGGGCACCATCTAGCAAACTTGACTCCTTCAGCACCCCCAAAGACACAGTGGCACAAGGCCCTCAGTATAGGGACTTTAAAAGTTTTGACAGTACAGGATGGGTTATAACACAAGTCAGCCAGCAAGCAACTTCTGACATATTAAACAGCCTCCTCTTTACCATCCCTGTCACTTCCACGACCAGGACGTTGGTGCGGCCCCCTCAGATGGCCCTGGGCAGTGTGCTGATAGCTCATACCATTCTTTCTGCCCATCGTCCGCTGACTGCCTACAAATGCCTGATTCCTACTACTTTGCTCATGCAAAGCAATCTGGCTCACCCAGTCGGTCCTCCAGGACTCACGGAGGATTTCTATACTGGTGGGTTTTCCACACCCTCCTGCCGCCTTGAAGGACAATGCCAGGGGAACGTACCAAGAGACTTTATGCCCAATTAGATGTAAGGTTTCACCTTGGGTGCCGCCCACACTCTTAGTGGAATTGCTGGTGACTGTGATTTTACTCCATTAGTTTGGGACCAAATGAAAAGACACATCAAAGATTCCCTTCTCTTCTGAAGATTGCAAAACTCTCCCGTAATGTGTAAACAGAGCCATGGTAACTGCAGGGAAATTCTGACTGTCCCGTTGGTCAAACCCTGGGCTTTTGTGTTGTCTTTCGCTGCTGCTGTTTGAGGCTGGCAGGCGAGCTCAGGTCAGGGGATTAAACAGTAGGCTAGCCGAGCAGCTTTCAGGCTCGGCATTTCCTGTTGTGGGAGTGCTGGCCCCGCACATGCGCAGGAGGCCGCCCCGCCCCCTCACCGGGCTCCGCCTCGAAAGAGAGCCTGCTGCAAATCCTGCGCGGCACGGACGCGACGAGGTGAGCCGCAGCTCCGTGCGCAGGACGAATTTATTGAGCGCCTGCTGTGTACCACACCTAGAGCACAAGGGTCAACAGAATCCACGCTGCCTTCAGGGCTCACAGCGTCCTGATGCAGGACAGATCTATTTTAAAATGAGAGAGAAACTAACCCAAGTGTCAGCTGCCAGAATGTTAACAGTCCTCTGGTCTGCCGTGGTCACTGTACTTTAAGCTGTATTAAATTTTTTAAACTTTTTTAAAAAGCAGTCCGCCCATCCCCAGCACAGCAGATCATCCAGTGGGTCCCCGTGGGGTAAAGTGTGCTGTTCTGCTTTGTTGCTGTGGCTCTGCCCTCTTCCCCGTGCACCCGCTGCCCTCTCTTGCTTTGCCCCTTGCCTCCCGCCTGAGATGCCCCTTTGCACACGATGGTGGCGCTGCATAGGACTCCACTCTGAACCCTTGGCTTGCCTAAAACTACCGACACAAGGCTGGCGAGGCAGGCTTGTCCGGAGCAATTTCATCCTCTGGCTCATTCCTCTGCTTTACAGGCTCCTTTCTCAGCTTCTTTTCTCTACCCACGAGGGAAATCATGACTGTAGACGCTGATTTGTTTCTCCCGGCAACAGGAATACTTACCATGCCAGGATAAGGAGCAGGTTTGCTACTTATCCTTCCCTTTCCATCTGTAAAGTTATACACGCCTCTTGTTTACTCTCTTCTTCTAAAAAAAAAATAGAGTAAGTGCTAGCTTCTTGTCTCTAAGTTGCAGGTGCTGAGGTAACTGTTTTATTTGAATGATTTCATTTAATTTATTTGTAAACTCAAAAAATAATTCTTGGGCGCCTACCACATACTAGGTGTGGTTCTAAAAGCTGAGAATACAATGGTAAACACAACAAAGAAACAGAAGCATCCATGGAATTTACATTCCAGCATGGAGAGACCAAACAATAAATAAATATCAAGCCATCATGAGATCCTTAACTAAAAATAGAAACAGACTGATGGGTTGAAGAGAGCAGGGCTCCTCTAGAAAGATATCCAGGGAAGGCTTCTCCAGGGAGTGGTAAGAAAGATCCAGCCATGAGAAGACCAAGGAAAAAGCACTCCTGGATAAGGGAACAGCTTGTACACAGGCCTCGGACAGGAATGTGCTCAGAGCATTTGAGAGAGCATCTCCGTTGAGAGAGGACCAGCGGGCTGAAGAGACAAGCAAATGCCTGCGCTCCCAGGGCAGGGTTGTGGTTTGGGCTTTATTCTGCTGCTTTGTAGACAAGAAGGCCACAGGGAGGTCAGTTAGGGGAAGAAGACTTACAGGGCTGGGGACCAGCATGGTGGAGTGGTGATGGAGGTGGAGGTAAAGTCACACATTTTCAAAAGTAGGGTCAACAGATCTGTGGCATCTTACTACACTGATGGACAGTGATAAGGAAGATGAGCTAGTGGGTGTCCATGCCTTGCCCAGGGCCCCATGAGTGATAGCCCTGGATGTAACCCAGGCAGTCCGCCCCTATCTACTTGCCATAGTGGACACATGCCTGCAGCAGTGAGGCTCTGCTTGCCTCATGTGTGACAGTCTCCCCACAGGAAGAAGATGATGATGGTCTGCCCAAGAAGAAGTGGCCTACAGTTGATGCCTCATACTATGGTGGGCGAGGCGTTGGAGGCATTAAAAGGATGGAGGTAAGAGGACAGAGAATGCACTCATATCCATGTGCTGACACTCACTGGTGGAAAACCAAAGCCACCTGCTGAAAACTCATATGGAGTCTGGCAAGGGCATGGCTTGTAAGGCATCAGATGGAGAGATGGGAGGTACAGCCTTTTACCTGTACCTCCCCATATCTTGCCCACTATTGAGCCAGAGCAGTTCACTCATCCACTCAAACCCCTCAATGTCACTGGAATAAAATCCAAAACGTTCTTACCTGGGCCTGCAAGGCCTTTGCACGTACGGTCCTCATGCGCTGGGCAATAACCATGCATGTGGCTTGCTCTCTCTGCCCCTTCAGCCCTCCCTCTCTCCCCTTCCTACACCTCCCTCCTCTTTGGCCCTCAAAACCCAAAGGCCCTGAAGATTCGGTAGCTCTGGCATTGCACATCACATACAAGTTTGTGATGGCCGTTCTCAAGGGCATCATATTTTACTGTGTTACTTTGTTTTAGTGTATATTATTTATTTTAGGTTCGTTGGGGAGAAAAGGGCTCCACAGAAGAAGGTGCTAAGTTGGAAAAGGCAAAGAATGCGAGAGTGAAGATGCCAGAGCAGGAGTACGAATTCCCCGAACCTCGAAATCTCAACAACAACATGCGTCGGCCCTCTTCCCCCCGGAAGTGGTACTCTCCGATCAAGGTATGTCTCATTCTACTCAAAAATCCATCATCACTCCTAATAAAACACTTACATGGTGAGAATCAGACTCTTTTGACATGACAAAATATCAAGCCAAAGTCCAGGTATCACAAAGAAACAAATTTCTAAAATCATGGACTGAAAAGTACAGGTACTTTCTTCATTTCCACATCACCAAGGTTGAGAAGTAGGCCTTTTAATATCACCATGGCAAAGCAGTGGAATGCAAATAGACTATGAATCAAGAGACCTGTGAAGTAACCTGGAGGATCATTATGAGTTTCTATGACATCTCATAACTTCATTGTAGGCAATCCCACTGTCTACCAAAAATGGCAGGATTCCCCCTGTGCCTTATCACCCTTCCTCATATCATAACATAAGTCCATTCCCATTTATCCAGCCTCTTGTGAATGTATCAGGACACTGGTGGATTGCACTGGCCATGGATCTAGAACTCATTCTTCTTAGCTGCAAGCAAAACCCCTTTTTTCTCCACCATTTCTCTTCCCCCAGTGGCTCCAGAGCTTGAAGCCTCTGGTGGTTTCCTTAATGTTTAGGAAGTTTAAGCCATAGGGGCCAGTTTATGCTTCCTGAAGTTTTCTTTTCTCTTACTCTTGGGTACAATTGTCTTTGAATTCATGTGGTTCATTCAATACCCTTGCTCTTTAGCATAAACATCTGCTCTATGTCAGTTGTCAGAGAACACTAGAAAATAACAGCTGAAAAGACATTGAGAGCATCCATCCCAGATCCCTCATTCACTTCACTCCCTCATTTCATACGGGAAGAAAACTGAGATAAGCAAAGTCCTTTCTCTGCCCAGACCCGGAACCTAAGGCTCCAATTCAGACCTATAGTTTCTAGGTCTATCTACAGACAAAACTTGGCCAATACCAAGGCCCCAAGTGAAAGACATGTAAGAAGAGCCAGCTTTCCTCACCACACACATGTGCACATGCACACAGACACATACACACAAATGTGTACACACACACACACACACACACACACACACACATAGCCTTACTCCTCTTCTAGTGACAGCAAAAATTTTATCATTCATTGAATTAATTGCTAATTTTAGAGCAGCCCTTCTATGAAATCACAAGAAATAACCATTTTAAACAGTGGAGTGAAACTTTATTGGTAGTTGTCTCTTCTCAGCTGAGCTAGCTACACTAATTGCAATGTATTTTCCTTTTGGCTTGCTGTGTTTAAAGCAATGAGATTTCTTTTTAAGATAAGCCCCCTGGAGCAATGGATTGAACTCTGGAAAGATGTGGGCGAAATGTAGCTTGCTTGAGTAACAGCTGTTTGCTTCTAATTATTTTCTAATGCGGAACATGCAGTGGTGTGCAAGCATGTGCAGACAGGAAGGAGCCAAAGAGAATCTCAGAGATGAAGGAGAAAGGGAATTTTCTATTATGTTGTTTTCAGAGATCTGTACTTTGTGACTAATACAACATATTTGGGTATAGCCCAGTTTTAGCCAGTGTAATCTTGGACACTGAGAGAACATTAATTCTGTTTGAAGAATCCAATTTCTGCTTGAGAGCATGTTATTCCTCTATTAACTGGTGGTGTAAGACTGAGTCTTATGAAATAAATAGAGATGTGGAGGACAAGATTTAGAAACCCAAAAACATTCCAAACAGACACTTGGAATTAGTATCAATTCAATGAGTATTTGTCAAGCACCTACTATGTGCCAGGCCCTGCTGGAGGCTGAGTATATAGAGGTTTAAACCAGGCTGAATATCAGAAGCAGCTGGGAGAGCTTTACAAATTGACTTCCAGGCCTAATGTCTCAGACCTACTGACTCAGAGTCTCACAAGGCCTTCAAAGGCACACTGGCCCTCACAACTTCCTCACTTTTTCTCATCAAATGAAACCCCTGTTTCCCCAATGCCTCCCTCTCCAAACTTCACATCCAAGCCCCTCTATTGCCCCAGTTACCACTGTCTCTGCAGCCCTGCTCCTGAGCCTCCCCTTTAGTGCTAGAGCCAGATTCTCATGGTGTGGTCCCTGGGCAGCAGCATTCCCAGGAACCTGTTAGAAATGCACATTCTCAGGCCCAACTCAGATCTACTGCATCAGTAAGTTTGAAGGGGGTACCCAGTAATCTGGGTTTTAACAAGTCACTTAAGAAATTGTCACTGAAGGTTCCAGGCAGTCTAACATAGTAAGTTCCCTAAGGGTAGAAACTGCGGTGCCTGACAAAGAAGCCATAATCATACCTCGGTGATTTGTCAGGAGTCTCAGCAAGAGGAACCACATTAGATTTCACAGTCCATTTTTACCACTGAGACAGCTGCTGGATTAATGTTAAGTGGTTGAGAATCTGAGGGTCAAGGAATCCCCCAGATAACCAGATGGAAAAGACCTGTGACACTGGTGGGCTAAGTCCTCCACAGGCCTCCCTTGTTAGGACACAAAAAAGTGTGAATGCTCCTCTTGCTAGTGGAGCGGTTCATGCCAACACTTACTCAGCTCCCTCTGCTAGATAGGAGATGGACAGTGGCCCGTTCGTGGGATTGCCCACGTTGATGAGTCTTCTCTCCTCCAGATTTGACCCCCTGGGGTCATGCTTAACTCATCTTTAAATCACCAATGAACAGCATTGTGCCGGGCACCTGGCAGGGACTTCACCATCTCTTGTTAAAGAGCTGAGGCATAGGCTGCAATGATGAAATCACTCCCAGCGATTAGACACTGGTTAGACCATCTTCTCTGGCCCGCACAGGCCCCTTTATTGCCCTCAGTCCAAGGAAGGTGACCTTCCTCTTGGCATCTCTTTGAGGAGAGGAGAGAAAAAGATCATCTGATATGTATCTGGGCCAGGTGGGAGAGAGAAGGGTGGGAACAAGGAGGCTTGAGAACGGAAGCACAGAAAGGCATTCAAGAGCAATGATGTGTGCTGTTTGTCCAGAAGAAAAAGGGCAGACTTGCTACCAGAACTCCAGTATTCACACTGTTGAACCAGTTGCATGCGCCATGATGAGCCCCACTTTGGCCACGGGCCCTATGGACATCACTAAGCCTTAGCCAAACATTTAGCCTCATGCAGAACCACCAATTCTTCTTCGTTCTGTTGACCTTTTTGTTGGACTGATCACAGTCCTGGCAGGAAACAGAAGGCACACTTAAAAAGGTTGAACTAACATAGCTGTGGGCAGGGCTCAGAGAGCCCATAGTGCTGGTAAGGCACCCACAGACTAGCACAGTGGGGCAAGGAGAGGCGGTGGTGTCACTAGAGCCAGTGCCCTGGGAAAGAGGCCATCCTATAGGAGCTGTGGCCACAGAAAGGGAATCAGCAATCTAAATCTGGCCTGCCATCTTTTTTATGGTCCACAAGCTAAGAATGGTTTTTGTATTTTTTAATAATTACATAAGTACCTATATAATATCTTTGTGCTTGTCTCCTGGCCTACAAAACCTAAAATATTTACTCTCCTTTATAGAAAATGTTTTCAGACCCTTGCTCTATATGAATGCAGCCACTGTTGGAAGAGAGCAGAAGGAATGAACACCCCAACCTCTCCCTCCTCTTGCCCTCTCATTCCTTCTGGTGCCACCTATGGGCCCAACCAGTGGGAAACCAGATGGTGCCATCAGCAAAGGTCAGGCCTCCCACGCATAGAATAAGGAAGACAGAGGGGCAGGGGGCACACAACTCAGAGAGAATAACCATATAAACAAAGCGAACAATGCCACCTAGTGCAAAATTTTCAAGAGGTACTAGGAAGACTTATCTTTCCAGTGAAAGTGGTCAGAATCATATATATGTTTGAATGTACTGCATTTGACTCACTTTTTTCATGCATTCCATGAAATCAGTTTGAGAAGCGGGTGAGCACATATGCTCAGCAAACCCAATGGGGGCTCATTAAGAGAAGGAGTCCACCATGGGATTCTCTCTACCAGTCCAATTTAAGGCAATGACCACACTTCATCCTTCCCTTATCCCAGGCCCATGACCAGTAAATTTTCCAATATTTGTTCTGAGTTTCCCTTTGCTCAGTTCTCACCCCCTGGATTTACACCATCCCATGCTTCTCACTAGACTGGGACTGACCATTTCAGACAAGCTCGAGTAATGCCCAGATATATATGGTCACCAGACTGATCAAAACCAGGCCTGTTTTCAGGTTTGCTGGAAGGTTTGCAGCCCTCAGAGAAACCATTTTTCTTCTTTTCCAGTCAGTAGCAACTCCACGTGGCTAGAAATGACAGAAACGACAGCCAAGTGACAAATGCCAGACTCCGGCTGGCCTAGCAAACTGGCTGTTCTCTGCAAGAGAGCCAGATCCAGGACAGGGCAGGGCCAGCCGGGCCCTGGGAGAGGGTGGGCTTCTCTTCACTTTCTGTCAGGCCAGCCTGTCATCCCGAACCCACCTTCAGCACCTGACCTGTAATCGAGCAGCGCGCAGGCCTGGAACCACCCGGGGTGAAGCTGCACGCAGCCCAGGGAGGCCCAGCAGAGCCTGAAGTGTGTCAGACAGGCCTGCTGATGCTGAGCAGACTTCTTTTGCCCCTCTCTGGATACTTTCAGGATGATTCCAAGCTTTTTTTAAACAGAGACTGAAAGGAAAAAAGAGCAAAGCAAAAATGACCCTATTTGTGTGCAAGCATGTGTGTGTAGGGAAAGTTTCCCACTTTATGCATGAATTTATTTAGTTTGAGGGGAAGCCTGGATCACAATATTCACCATATATTATAAGGTGTGAAAATTCAAGTGGTGGTCTATAGTGGGACTATAAATTGAACTACCCTCAAAATTATCAACCTCCGACTAACTTCCAAGTAATTGAGGCAGACAAGCCAAAGGAGAAGACACAGCTGCTGCCTGGCACAAAAAAATAAATAAATAAAACAAGGAAAGGAAAGAAAAGAAGAAAAGGAAACCCCAGCCATAAAGCCCATGCACCAGGATGCTTTGAATGATGGCTGCATGAGCACTGCTGGCCCAGTCCAATTGTTTAGGGAGAAACAAAAGCTAGAGTTGACACAGAACTCCCAAATTGCCTGCCTCTGTGGATTGGAAGGCATGGTCTCAACCTGAGGTACCAGTTGGGAGCCTGGAATTGGTAAATTTCTCATTTTACAGCCAGAATGTGTCAACTTCATATGAAAGAAAGCCATTTTTAAATGTCAGCTCATATACTCTGGCAGAGGGCCCCAAACTGACGGGGAAGTCTTTGTTTTAGCTTCACAGAAGCAGTTGGGCATCTCTCAGGAGTAAAGACCAGGGTCTTGAAATGCATCCTGTGGAGAGGCTTGTGTGTGTTGGACGCTCAAATCTGAGATAAACAGTGGAGTCAACTCAAAGGCTTCTCTCCAGGCTTTGGGTAAAGCCTGGCAATTAGCTGGAAGAATCCTCTGAGGCTCTTCTGGCCCCAGAGCAATGTTATTAATAACCCCATTAGCTACTGTCTTAAAATGACAGGCTTCTTCCTACATTCAGGAAAAGAAAGGCTCCAAGAGCATTTGCTGTTCACTTCTCTTTCACTTTAGAGTTACTTTTTCATCCACTTCTTAGTTATAAACACTCTTACTCTAAAGCTTACTTCAGCTCTTGCATAAAAAGCTATGTGATAAGGGAGTAGAATGAGATACAGGATGTGTAGGGTCCCCAGATTGTTTTCTGTGTCACAGAGTGGAGACTGGGTGCATTGGCGGGACAGTTAGAACTCAGAATACTGAGGGTACAACAGGACCTAGCTAGTCTCACTGTGGCTGGAAGAGCCCAGCTGCAGCGGCTCACCTGGGGGAAGTGCGCACCTGGGTGGAGCACCTGCCACAGGGGCACAGCTCCAAGCACTGTCCATGCACTCACTCCTTTATTGCACCTGACCCTCAAAAGTACAAACTACTCCTCCTCCCATTTTCCAGATGTAAAAACCAAGGCAGAGGGAGGGTAGGTCACTTGCCTAAATTCACACTGCTAGCAAGATGTTTCTTAGTTCATTTTATTAGCTGCGGAGCATCTCTCCATTCAGGCTAGGAATGAAATCCGTTATCAATCAAATAGGAGAGGACTGAGGGCCTGGAGGTAAAAGACCGATCAGGAAACTGTTGGCAGGACAAGTGACAGATGATGGGGGCCTGGGCATGGCAGGAGCCACAGAGACAGTGGGGCAGGGTGGATGGGCAGGGGCAGCCAGAGGGCTGTTACAGAGAGAGCAGCCACAGGATGGGGTCCGAGCTGGACGTGAGCTGGTGAGGAGGGAGAGGAGGTAAGAGTGGGCAGTGTCCAGCTTGTGTGTCTGGATGCTGGTGGTTCCATGAACCCAGGCAGGGTGTGCAGAAGGAGTCGCAGGCTGGAGAAACATAGTTCAACCTGTGGTGTTTGGTTTTCAATACCAAGGATACGTCTACTTCCCAACTCAGATGACTAAGCTGAAGGTGGAATTTGTGAGCCATCGGCAGATAGGGGGAAGGCTGACCCACGAGACTAGACAAGAGCACTCAGGGTGAGCATCAGCAGAGAGGTGTGCCTAGAAGAGGCCGAGGGGAGTTCGCACAACATGTGGAATGAAGGCAGAGGGAAGAAGCACGTGAGGCTGGAAAGGACAAATAAGACAAGTAGGAAGGAGAGAAGGGTGCAGTGGGGAGAGGCCTAGTGCATCAGGTCTCAAAAGAATCAAGTGAAACGAGGCCCGAAGGGGGCCTCAGGATGCCGTGCATGTCCTTAGCTAGTGCCGCTTTAGTGGCATGTTAGGGCCACCAAACACTGCCCTAGAAGCCAGACCACGGCATGCAGCAGAGGAATGAGAAGTGTGGCTTGAGGGAAAGAGGGAAATAGGGTTGGAGGAGCACAAAATAGAAGATGAGTAGCTCGCAGTTACTGGATTCTTACACTCTGTGTTACAGTCTCCTTCTTTCTAGAGATCCTCCCAAATTATCATTTTAATGGCATTACCATGATCATAGATAACATTTAATGAATACTTTCTGTCAGATAAGTATCTAACTTCAATATCTAACTCTCAACCTTGTAGCAAGTCTGTAGCCTTTCAGTAGACAGTATTATTAGCTCCATTTTAAAGATGAGAAAAGTCAGGCTTAGGGAGGTGAAACTCCTTGTCAAAAGTTGCAGAGCTAGTGAGGGGTACAGTCTGAATCCAATCATTTGGTGCTTAACTATTACACTGTGATCTGTTGCCACAAAGATACATAATTACTACCCACTCTCTTGGTGCTATACATCTAGGTGGTTTCTGCTCTTTTGCTTGCATTTAGCTTTAAATTTCTGCATTTTCTTTCAGACCCATCTCACTGCTCCTCCTTTGTTGAGCAGTTGAGTGGTTAGCACACAGAACCCCTGGGTGGGCCAACTGACAAGCTGAATCCTCGGAGTCTCCCAAAAGAGAGAAAGAAAAAAAGAATCATTTGTCCAGAAAATCCACCTGGTTATATCCTGAACTATAAATGCTTATCCCAAAGAACATTAAAGGAAAACATTTCATTGATGATTGAAACAGTTTAATGCAGAAAACCCTGCTGAAGACAGCAGCAGTCCTGTCCAGCATTCTCAAGTCATTTCAAAATATTTTTAGAGGCTTTTGTAAATACTTTGCTGAAAGAAATAAGAAACATTATACTTAGCAAGACCAAGTTTAACCCCCAAGAACTCCAACAACAGTTGATAGAAGTTCAAGGGCACATTTCTTGTATCTGAATATAACCCACCAGAAAATAATTTTCAATCATGAAATCTTCAAGATGGTATTCCTTAATTAACACTGGCACTGCAAAAGCTTTGTGTCCAGGAACATGGGGTCTCTACACTTCCCCAGCCTTTCAGCACTCTCCTTCAAAGACCTCTCCAGTGTTTTCAAACATGCTTGACAGAGACCCTAGGAGGAAATAACTTTTGGCTCAGGATGGCCCTAGGTGTGCATATGGCTGCATATACACATGCCTATACATGTTTAACTGATGCAAATTTTTCACAAAATAATACTTATCCTTACCTTATGCAATTAATTTCAATATTTTCCTTCCTATTCTATTTATATCTTAAAATTTCTGGTCCTAATACACAAAATCATTTCATGGGGGCTTGAAGAGTTGCAATCCACAGTTTAAAAACCCTGTTCTAAAAGCTCTAAGTTAAAGCACCCCAGTCCGAGGATCTGCATGAGGACGAATCTGCAGTTGGTATAATAGCAAGTATGAGAGCTGTAGAATTAGACATGGGGTCCAATCACACCTGTCCAGTTTATAAGCTGTGTGCCTTTGGGAGAGTTAGTTGATCTCTCTGATCCTCCATTTCCTCTCCGTAACCCTTCAGGACTTTGGGAGAAGACACATGTAGAAGCACCTGGCCCAGCACTTAGTAGCACTAAAAGCATTCATTCATCCAACAGATAGCTATTGAGCACCGAATGCTGCCCTGGGGTTGGGTATGACAAAACCCAGGACACCTCTGTTTTCCTGGAACTGGCATTCCAGCTGGCAGAGGAACAGACAAGCAAATAAGCAGAGACTATGTCAGGGAGTGGTAAGAGCTGTATTAGTTTTCTATGGCTGCTATAAAAAATTACTGCTAACTTAGTGGCATAAAACAACACAAAACTCATTCTCTTACAGTTCTGAAGCCCGTCCCCCTTGGAGACTCTAGGAGAGAACCCATTTCCTTGTCTTCTCCAGATTCTGGAGGCTGCCCACAGTCATCCACTTATGCATGCTTCCCCCTGCAAAGCCAGCAACAGTGGGTGGAGTCCTTCTCCCATCAAATCACTCTGCCCCTGCTTCTGTTGGCACATTTCCTTCTCTGACTCTGCCCCTCCTGCCTCTCTCTGTTAAAAATGCATATGGTTAGACTGGGACCACTTGGAGATTCCAGGATACTCTCCCCATCTCAAGATCCTTAACTTAATCACATCTAGCCATGGAAGGTAACATAATCACAGGTCCCAGAGAACAGGACACCACCTCTGGAGCTGGAGAGAAGGAGATTGTTCTTCTTACCATAAGAGCCAAGAGGGAAAATAAGGCAAATAAGACACCTGCCTGTTGATGGAGTCACCAACCAGAGTTAATACGAAGAGCAAAGCTAAATAAATGTTACTGTTTTCTCAGGATCTGCAGTGGCAGAAACCAGCCTGCATTGAGCATGTCTGGGACCTAGAATGGCTGGAAGCATTAGACGCCCGTTAGCACACACTTTAGCCCTCAGTCTCACTTTCTCAGATTCAGCCAATCATCACAACGTCAAAGGGCTTATAATTTTTGGTAATTTGTCCCTTCAGTGTGGGGTTCCTGAGCAAGTTGTAGGTGCTGAGTGAGCCCAGGGGACAGCCAGGGGCCTTTACCTGGTCTTGCCCTGTTGACACTTCTGTTTAGTAATTTTCCTGCATTCTCATCATTGTTCCATTTGTGAACTCAGGCAAGTGGGAAGAAAACACATCAGTGAAAGTTAGTAAGATTGACTTGTGTCCTAATGCTATGCCCAGAAATGTGATAAGGACCAAAGCCATGAGCCCCAAAGAACTTCTGCATGTCTGCAAACTTGGGGCTGCACTGAAGTCTCAGGTGTACCCTGCACTAGCATCCGGGTCCTCTGCTATATGTCTCTTCTCCTGCATTCCTGAAGCCCACATTTTGAACTGAGGGACTGGAGAGTAATCTATCCTGTCTCTACCACATTGTTGGTGGGGTGTTGTTCACGTGACTATGTAATCTGGAAAGTTCTACCTGTCTGTGCTGGCCTCTGGTCTGCTTTCATATGTGACCTTGGTGCATGTATTTTATTTCAGGGAAAACTTGATGCCTTGTGGGTCCTGCTACGGAAAGGATACGATCGTGTGTCTGTGATGCGTCCACAGCCAGGAGACACGGTAGGAGTCATGAGTGGTGTCCCACACACACATTCTTTTTCTCTTTTCCACTGATTTATTGAGCTAGAATAACTCAGATATACAAATCCAGGTATTGTTTCATGTGACAACTCAGATACTAATTTTCAAAATTCCGGTTCTTTACAAGACTTAAGCTTTTACTCGCTTTTCTGAAAAGGATTTTGACAGAAATATGTTGGGTTTAACTTCCTAGGACTTGAGCTCCTTAATTTACAAGTACATCAAGTGAATAAAACAGGGCCAGCTCTTACTTTAGGCGGTCCCAGGAAAGAGCCAGCTGCTCCCCAGCCATACTGGCCAGAGGTGATGAACAGGGTGCCAGAGCCACCAAACAGGGTGGCAGAATAGGGGCCACAGGAAACTCCCACCATCTTCCAGCAGGTGTTGGGCCCAGCTGGGCTAGGACCACAGTAGGACCTTCTACCCTGGGGAGGATTTGCCCCAAAACTCTCAGGGCCAAGCCTGGAGTGTCTTCAGCTCTCCTGGAGTTAGAAAAGGAGGCGCCTAAGAAACTGCAGAGACCTTAGAAACCACTTAGTCCATGTCTTCATTTTGTAAGTGAGGAAAGGGAGCATAAGAGAAGTTGTGCTGATAATCACATCACTGTTGTGTCTTCTTGGAAGAGCTAGTCTCTCCTCCATAAATTTTGTAAAGCAAAGCTTGGAACCAATTCTCCCTCAACTACTAGTGACCTGCATCTTCTATCCACTTCTCTATGAACCAGGCATGTGAACCCAAAAGCAGAATAAGAGTGTCTAATTTAGAGCTCCTTTCAAGTCAGGCAGAATGGGTTTAATCTCACCTTTCTCCTGGCCGGAAAATTTGAAGGAAATCATTTAACCTTTCTGAGCTTCATCTTTATAAAGTAGATGATAATTACTCCATATGTGGCTGGTTGGAGAAGGTAATGTTTGTAAAGCATTGGGCCCAGCATTGAACACATAGTAATGCTCAATCAGGGGCAAGTATTATTATGATTATTTACTTTGTGCTTTACTGCTGTCTGTGAGGGGTTGATGCAAAAATTCAAACCATACTGCTATGATGTGTATTGGATGTACCCACTTTCCCTGCCCAACACAGCACAACTAATAAAACACAAGAGCAGACCTGTTAGGCAGGCCCTGCTCCCTTTACTCCTGGTGACAATAGGCGGTTTGTGGCTGAAGCGATTTGCTCTGAGGTTTCATAGCTTGTGCAAGCAACTGCCCAGTTAACTCTTCTTGCTCCAGGTCATGGCAGGGACAGCATGCAAGTTTGACATGAAAGAAACCAGGTCGTATAAATGCTGGGCCAACTTGGCCCTCATGGCACATCGAATTTATATTTTGTCTGTGAAAGTCAACAAGAACACAGTGCTGTAGCAAATTTTAAAGTACAAATGCTGCAGCTAACAGAAATTAGCCTAGGCTATAAACTTTGTACTCAGGGTGGCATTTGGTCTTGTAAGTTATACATCTGGTTTCTGTGGAAATTAAGCATTTTTAGCATACGTGAGACTCACCTAATGGATTGAAAAAAACAGTAAGATAGCTAAACTCAGGTTCAGCAGCTCTATTTTTGTGACAGAAAATGCTGATCAGGGGGACAGTCCCATTTTTTTTCAAAGCAACTGAAAAATATCTCCATTCAAACAAATGAACATTCCATTTTCCACTGAACAGTTCGGAAGGAACAAATGCATAAACTGAGTCAACCTGAGATGTGGGAGGGGTGTAGGCAAGAGGAAGGACAGAAATATTATCATGTATAAGATACAAGAACCAACACTATTTGGGGGCAAAAGGCTGACTGTACAAATCCAACAATGGAATGGAATTTGCATCCACAGATGCTGGGGAGGAATACAATACCACCTTGAATTTTCATTCTCCAATCACCGAAAATAATAGATTCGAAGTACAGGAGGTCTCTATCTAACCATTCTCAGCACTGTCACAAACTATGAGTGTCTAGTCTCCTTTTAAGCAGACCTTCTTAAAAGAAATCCTGCTAAAATTTTAAGACACGTGAGAGAAATAGATGCGAAGAACTGTGTCCTTGCAGGCATGGCAGTGGCCACAGACATCTTCATGTACACATAGAGTAACCCAGGAAAGGTCACAAAGGAATGGGGATTCAGAGCTGCCTGGAGGCACCTCAGGAAAGAATTCCAGGGCATGGGAGGACTATTTGGTAGCCTTGTCTGCATGCTTATTCTGTCTTGTGCATAATATTAGGAGACTCACTGCGGACCTGCATTACTTGAACAGTGATGACTCTGTAAGAATTCTTCAGCACTGATTTACGAGTTGACCACATTTTCCATAAACTCAAAATGACTACATCTAGGCATGTGCTCATGAACAAGAGTCACAGGTTCTGAATTTTCCCTTTAAAACAAAAACAAAAATCACCTAATTACATTCTCAGTTACATTCTGAATTGTTTCAAACACATGTTGACATGTTGACCTCACAGAACCTGGCAGCTCTTCCCTCTCAGTTCCTGTCTGCTCTGTCCTCCCTGCAATTGACCCATCCCAGCCCTGCAGATGCAGGCAGGGGCCCACCAACAGAGCCTCTGAGGCTGCTGAAGGAGCCCAGTGCCTCCAGCCCCCACCACAGAGCCGAGGGCTGGGGGAGGCCAGCCCAGAGCCACACCCTTCCCTGGGATGGGCGCCCACCTCCTCAGAGCTGACCAGGCACCAGGTCAGGGAGGACCTGAATGGGTGCATGACTGCCTGCTGTCTGCCACCACCATCTTCCTTTTCCTGCTGTGGTAGCTCACTGTCCTACTGTTCCTTGGAGCCCACCAGGAAATCCCGGGCCTAACATACAAGAGAAAGTGCCAGAAGAAACCACTTACACAGCAAACCAGCAACACATCTGATTCCAAAATTTAGAGTGCCTTAAGCATATGATGTCCTTTGCTTAACTATCCCCTGCTCCCCGTGTAGCTACTCCTGTGCTCTTTCTAAAACAGATCTCAACATGAATTCGTGGCTTCATACTTGCAATGACTAGGAAAAAAGCCCCAAGTCCTTAGCTTGATTTAGAAAGGCCTCCCTTTCCATCCCATCAAGCTACCATCCCAGGTTCCCTCATCACTTCAAATAGGCCCTTCCTATGCCAAAACTTTTGTGTCGCTGTGCCTTTGCATATTCCAGTGTCTCTGCCTGAAATGCCTCTGCCTTTTCTCTATCTAGTGACCTTCTATCACCTTGACAAAATTGTTCATTGTTCCCCTGGTGTCCCTATAAACACAAAGAGTCGCCCAGCAGGCCCACACTGCGACAGGGCCTTGTCAAAGCAGAGTGCACTCAGAGACTGAGCAAGAGGGCATGGAAGTGAGAACCTGTGTCATGAGCATTTCCCAGGATGGTCTCTGAGGCTTCCTACACACCTGGGTCACTCTTCGCACTCAGAAAATTTGCTCACCTTTCAAGAACAAATACCTGAAGCAGTGAGAATGTACAGTCTGACAAAGGAGACTTCCAGGGACCCTGAGATACCTGGTCATTATGTAATACATCTCATTCTGTACCCTGTGTGTAATCACTTAACTATATTCAGGGAGTATCTCCCCATGCCATTACATACCCTTGTACATTATCATTTTAATGGCCATCTCATTTTCTATTATTTATCTGTGACATAATATTTCTGCCTATCTTCTCTTTTTGTATATTTATTCCAAGTACTTACTTTCCTAGGTGAAGCGTAATCAGTCTTATTGTTGCCAAATCAGTGTGTATATTCATCAGTGTTTCTTAGGATAAGCAGCCAACTGTCTGCGGGACCAAACAGCATGCAGAATTTTACAGCTTCAATACATATTGCTCAATCAAACACTGCATGGATTAGCCCTCATTTCAGCATTAAGAAAAGCCCATCTCCCCAGATGCTCGCCAACATTATTAAACCTAACTATTGGATAGGTGTTAACTTTATTTGCATTTTTCTCATTGAGGTAGAAAAAAAATGTTAATGCTATTTTCTTAATGCAATTTTGCCAATTGCCGTACATGCCGTTGGTCCATTCATCCAATTTATTCCATTGTCAATGGATATTTTAGCATTGATCTTTATGTACTTATTTGCATAGCCCATCTTCATTCGTTCATAATCAGATGTTTTGAGGACCTGCTCTGTGTCAGACCCTGTGCTGTGTGTTAAGTATGTGGTGCTTACCTTGTGGAACTTCAAGTCTAATATTTCATATATAAAATAGCCAAAGTTGATATTCATCATTTCTGCCCTTGATGTCAAACTTAGAATGGTCTTCCCTACTCCACGAAACATAAATTTTCACAAAAATTGTCTGTCTACCTCAGCCTTAGTTTTTGGTGGTAATGTGAGCTGGCACCTTTTCTGAATCTTCCTGGGTATTTTACTGTAAATTTAGGAAAAGTGCCTTGAGGAGCGATCAGTCACATATATTAAACCAGATGTCCTGGAACATTAAAGTCTTTGAAGTAGGGAATGTGACTTGGATTTACTCTAGATCATCCCAAAGGACTGAACTAGAGCCACCGGTCAGAGTTATGGTGAAGCAGAATTGGTCTTAAAGAATTGAAGTACTGAAGTTTGTTTCAACAACAGAACGGGCTGCCTCAGAGACAACTGAGCTCCTTGTTATCAAACCGGATAAAGCCAGTTGAACCACTAGTCCAGGATATAGATCAGTCTGAAGCGTACCCACTCATTCTTACTCCAACTTGAGCTTCCCCACCCACCACGTGCTCCAGGAAGGAGGGACGCGCTGGGGCTGGATGTCCTTTGTTTGCAGCCACTTGGTTCTGCCCAGATCTGGCCCTGGGAGGCGCGTGCATTCCATTGCTATCACAAGAACAAAGTACTAAGACACACTCTGAGCTTGTTTTGCAAGGCTGAGCCTCCTTGTGATCAGAAGAGACCCAGGAAACACACACGTAAATGTACATAAACACCTTTTGGAACTCATCTGAAGCACAGCCCCAGAGGTTTTGAAATCCCCTC